TGAGTCTGATGTGCACTGACTATGAGGAGGATTCTGATAAATGCCAACATTTGCCTCATTTGCCAAAAGGTGCCAAATATTCAAAGGCGCCGTCAGTTATTGACGGTTTCGGACGCATATTAGATGACGATTAGGCAACCAATTAATTAGGCATTTAATTGTAATCTATTTTATGTATAAATGTATTTAATATTTGTAAATAAGTTAGTTGTTACACTCAAAAGGATTGTCTCAATTGTACAGAAAGATGTAAATAATATTTATTAATAAATAGATTTTTCAATTATCTACAAAATTAATGAAATCTAATGAATATAATGTACAGTATATAAGAATTCAAATACAGAAAAGGTAAAATGGATTCAATGACTCAAATAATAAAATACTCGAAATTATGATATTGTAGTAAAATATAAATTGAATGAAAAGTCAACACAAGAATAACAGGAATGACAGGAATATTTGCACCGCTTTTATGAGCGTTTTTGGGCTTATTCTGTGGTTTAACCGATATTTGAGTGGCTATGGGACTGGTGGTGGGGTTGGAGTACAAGACATCATCGACACCGGAGGACTGGAAGGATGTCTTTCCCGTGTTTTTGGTATTTACTTCAATAATACAATCAATGATTGCCACCAAATATAGTCTCAGAATTCTCATAGTATTCATTGAAATCATTGAATTGATTAACAAATCCTATCTATAATTACAAAAATGTTTGGTAGTATGATATGAGATATCACTTTAGACCACTGTCTAACAAAACACTTATAGATATTGTAAATGCATTACTGAATCAGCTTTTTGAATGAATTTATAGTTGAATTGTAAAATCAAACCGAATATCACATAAAGAATTATTGATTGTATAATCACGCGATTAATGATTCACAAATCATTATAAGCAGGTCTTTATCTATACAGTACAGTACTTTAGTAATTAATTCATAGGTTCTGTGAATTAAACTTTCTAAGCACTGTTATGTCACACATAAGTGAGGTTACTCTAGAATCTAGAGTCTAGATTATGGCCAACATTCTGGAGTAAATGTAATAATTTTTTCTAATTTAGGATTTAAATATTGAATGTATTTTTATTATTATGAATACTAATTATCATTACATTTCTTCAATAGTCTTCATCTCTTGCTCAGTGAGAGTGAAGTCAAATACATTGATATTATCTCTAAGTCTATCTCTTTTGGTACTCTTAGGAATGGCCACAACCCCTCTCTGTATTTGCCATCTGATCATCACTTGTGCCGAACTCTTCCCGTATTTCTTTCCGATGTCCACAAGAGTTGGATTTCCAATTAGACTGCCGGCGCCTAATGGGGAGTAAGCCGTCACTCGTATGTTGTATTGGAAGCAGTAGTCTATGAGTAGTCTTTGACTCAATTGCGGATGACTTTCGATTTGATTCATCGCTGGAAATACATTCACTGTTTGGATGAGACTTTGCAACTGTTGGACATTGAAGTTGGAGACCCCTATGGATCGGACCAAACCCTGAGACAATGCATCTTCGAGTCCACTCCAGATCTCGCGATTAATTTCATCGGATTGTGAGGGAAAGTGAAATAAAATCA